TAATTCAGACCCGACCCGTGTTGCGCATCTGAAAATAGTAGGTGAGTCTCCCAGCGAGAGCTGTTGCGTACACAAAATCTAAAACTCGAGATCTTATTTAAATTAGAACAAACCGCTTATCACTTGATCCAACTCCTCGTTGGTATTATGGTTACTCGATGGTTCTTCACGCTATACAGCTTAAAATTTCAAGGAAGCATCGTCATCACATTTGATTAACAATGGATTTGGGGGAAGGGAGGCCCAAAATCAAATCCAGTACTTACACGTTAAATGAGCAAAATGGAAACTTATTTTATGCATTTCATTTATTGAAAAAAATAGTCAATCAACTAAGAATTTAAAGCGTAAGAAATTTATGTATAGTATGTTTAATTCAAAAAAAAAAAATGAAAAATGAAAAGAATAAGAGGGGAGTACATGGATGAGTTTTTTCATTAATTAAATTATAAAATTTTTAAATATTGTAATATAATTAGTTAAAATTTTATAATTAATTATTAATTTTAAGAGTGGAAGGCTCCATGTTTAAGGGGTCCTTCCCTACTAATAATTATAATTATACATATTAAGTTAAATTACATAATAATTTTTGTTTTATTATTTATTATTTTACCCTTTTTTTTAAACAGATTAAAACTATTTATATATATTAATTGAGGGAAGGGAAAAGAAAAAAGTGAAAAAGGGATCCGTAGAGCTTGAACACGTCTCCCACAAAAAACGATCGACCTTAACCTAGGTTTTATGCCACTGGGCCGAAACAGGTTGTTCATTTTACCTTATAAACATGAAACTTCTAGAAAACAAATGGCATGAACTTGCTTTATAATGCTAAATGGATGTTCCTAGAAGAAAATGGTATGACCTTGTGCTTTAAGGTGTAATTATTATTCGTTTTAACTATTAAACCATATAGAAAAAAAAAAAGGAAAAGAAAAAGATTTAGCATCAATACGAAGTTTATTAATATAATTAATTAATTAAATAAATTAAAGTCACTTTTTTATAATTTAATGTTGTAAAAATATATTAATTACATTTTAAATTAAGGGCATATGTAAGGGTGTTCATGGTATGATTTGATATGAATTTGAATATTTTTTAAGCCAACCCAATTTAATTAATTAGTGAAAATTTTAAACCAATATAATTTACTATTATATGATAATTAAATCAATTCAACTAAAATAAATTGGTGTAGTTCAGTCAAATTAATAAGTTTTTAATATTATTAAATATATGAAATAATGTAAAAAATTTTAATATCAAGTAGAAAATATAACTATAAAACGCATTAACATCTAAATTATCAGTAAAAATATAATTAAAAAAGGACATAGACTATAAACAAATTCTTATACTCTTTTACAATTATAAAGATTAAAAAGAATTTCGAGATTAAAAAGATTTAGAAATTCTTCTTAGTTACATTATAAGGGCATTGAAGATAATAAAATATGACTCTAAATTTCAAGGACAGTGCATGTAATTTTTAAAAATTAAAATTAGTTTTTTTTAATACACCAATGACTCAATTCCATCTTCCAAGCCCTGCTAAAGGTCAAAAAAAAAAAAAATTAAAATGAATATCACTATAATTGATTTGATAATTCATAATCAAAATTTAAAACTCATCAATTAAATATCTAAGAATAGCAAAAGATCAAAAACTAGTTTTATTATGAAATTTTAAAACTTTTGAAATAATGCATCTTTAAGGTTTTGTTAGGAGAAAAGAATATCATTTTAAGAACAAATTTGAAATTTAGGATTTTAAGAATAGAGTTAGAGACCAATTTTGAGAGATAGAGTTATAGGCAAATTTAAAATTTAAAATTAAAATTAGAGTGCATAATTAAAAAAGAAAAATAAATTAGAGAATATGAGGATACTTTATTTTTATCTTTTAATTAACTTAACTTAATGAAGTTATTATCTTGTGAACCAATAAAAAGAAAATTTAAATACTATAAAAATGTCATATTATTTAATTAAATTATTTGGTAATTAAATTTTATTTTATAATCAGATAATTTGAACCGTTTGAAAATAAAATCATAAATTAAACTAATTATATTAATTTTAAAATTT